ACGACCATAGGACACTGAAAATTAGGCTTCCCGTCCGCTCAGCCATATACAAGCAGTGTACCGGCGGATTAGTAGTTAGGTGGGTGACCACTAGCGAATCCCCGCTGTTGTATGTTTTTGGATTTTTGCTCGTCTTTTTTTTTTTTTGGCGGGGGGTTGATGGAGGTGGAGAGTAGAATCTTGGGAGGGGAGGGGAGGCGGGGTTGGGTGGAGATTCTGAGTGCCCGACCATCATCGAGCTCGGCTCCGAGGCCAGCAAAATAAGAACGCCAAATCCCGAGATCCTGTTCAACACCAGCATGTGGATTGCAGCGCCACCACGCTAGTCGTCGTTTTTTGGAGTTTCGACCGCAGCACCAGGTCCGGCTCCCGGGCCACACGACATCCGTCTTTGCCTTCTTTCTTTCCGTACTAGCTCAACCTCCACCCTTACCAAGTCATCTCCAATAACGCCTCGCAACCCGTTGTCATCGACATCGAAATAGAGCGCCCACTCTCCAGGTCCATACTGAACAGCCATAAACCCCTCCCAACCCATGAATGTGACCCTGCGATCCATCTTTGTTACGTCCCATGGACCAACGATATGTGGTTCCGAAGCAACTCGGTCGCCATGTTTGACTTCGCAGGTGTCGCGATCCACATAGATCCAGTTCAGTTGTGGCGGCTCATCTGAGATGGTCGATACCATGCCTTCCCCCTGTCGTCCCCAGTCTTGGTCTGGGAACGGAAGGAAGTAGCCTGCGAATGGGTGATCTTCGGGATGGCCGTCCGGAAACTCATCTGACGGTACATTGAGATAAAGCTGGCGTAGTCGTGTTAGCTGTGAAGCTCGTAGCAGGATGCAACAAGCGTCGGTCGCAAGCCCGGAAGGGGCTGCTTCACCTTGTTTTCGCTGAGTACCACTTCGCATTGATCGATTTCGCGACCGCTTCTTGTGGCTCGCGAACAGGATATTGAGAGATTCGTCTTCAGGCCCCGATGCTTTTCCCTGGCATTTTGTCTTTGGCCTTGACGCACTGCTTCAGTTGTGCCTATGATTGCGGGGCAAGCAGCGATGGCAGTCAAAATGCCCAGCACCATGATACTTGGGTCTCTGATGAAGTTGTGCGAAGGTGATGGCGTTATGGTCTGAGCATATTTAAACCTGCTTTTGCGCTCGGTGCTCGGTCGGTATGGATCTAGGATCCTATACCTGGTAGGTGTCCTTGCACTCGTGGGGACGAAACTTGATTGAGAGTTGTTATAAGAAAGGCGCACAGGTTTCAGAGTGGATTCTGTCAGTCTCGGGCCGTTGTTGCGTCATGGTATCTAACGGGTATCTAAAGCTTAAGAGAAGAGCTCAGTGTGGTTCCAAGTTTACCATCTATATCCTTAATTCCTTCAGTTAGGTATTGAATCTTAGCAAGGACTTTCCTAAATCCAATTGAAACATCGGATTGTACTATCGACATGTCTTCAGAGTAAGTCATAACATCTAACCTTCAGTGTTCTTGTTCCATCCCAAAACATAGTTCTAATCGATAGCAAGTTCCCCAGCTGGCGACGCAACCAACAACACTACCACAGAAGCACCCCAGACTCCTAGGAAAAAGCCCTCGAAACTCGGAGGCCAGAGCAAGAACAACGAGATCGAAAAGACCCCTGCACCTCAAGCATCTCAAACCTCGGACGATGACGGCGGAGACACCGAACTAGAAGCCACCATCGCAAAACCTAAAAAGAGCCGTCGCATGGTTCCTGTCCACCAATCGCGCATCGCGGACCGACCCGTGAAAGAAGGCGAGAAGGACAGTTCGCTCAAGATCAAGATCGAGCTAGATCTTGAAGTCGAGGTAGAACTCTACGCCCGAGTTAAGGGTGATGTGACAATTGGGCTGATGTAGCCCAGGTCGAGATATATGCGCGCGTGAAGGGAGACGTGACGATTGGTTTATTGTAAGAGTGAGTCGGTTGCTACTTTATTGCCGAGCGGAAAGTAACGTGTCTTATGCTGTAGTACCCCGGAGAATAAGTAAAATGTGGGTAGATGCGGCGATTGTCTCCGTGATCGACTGAGATACCCGAATTCATGACGACGAAGCGTGACGGATGGGGAAAAGTATATTTGCGCGACGACTTGTGGGAAGTGCGCTGAGGTTATTGCAAGGCAACAAGTTACACAAGAGGAAATGATAGAGCTTGGGGGGCCATGGAGGACTGGATTACCTGTTCAGTCGCTGTTTATTGTGGGCGGCGTTGACAGCCTTGTCTTATGACCATAGCTGCGCCGTACATGTACAGGCGTAATAAATCCGTGCCATTTGTGATTGAGAAGGAATGGCGGAACCAATAAACTATAATATATCGAAAGAAACATCCCATACTCTCTGGAGAATGACAGTGATGCCCAGGAGACTGCGGGGTAGATTTCAGCCCGGCAAAAGGAACAAAAAGGAGAAGACTTTCTTTATGTACAAAATATATCTCGAGCGACTGAGGGAGCTAATGGACACGACATTTGACCATCAGTGATTGATGTTGGCCATTTGTTTACTTTGATATTATCTATCACATCCTCAACTGATAGAGCTGTAAGAATGAAAAGGCCGTGGTTTCCTGGATGTTAGAGAATATCAGTACTGACCTGTAGATTGATTAGTTTCTTGTAGACCGACCAGCTGATAGAGGAATTGGTATTCTGGTTGCGAACTCCATACTTCTGCCTTTTCACGTCCCTGAGCTAGTGCCTTTCGGAGTATGGTTAATGGTTTGAAAGTCAGTTGCCTAGGTGTCACGATGTTCTTGTTGAGTAACCCTCTCGGCTTGTCGGTAATGGAGAGAAAACATCGTAGTATATCAACGCCCTGTTGTATATCCGAGACACCAGCCCTATGACTTCTCTTTTCAGTCCTCGAGTTTTCGAATGGAACATCGTATTGTACTGGGGGCGTCACTACGTGTATCTCATCTTCGGCAGCAGGAAGCGAATCATCAGACTTGTGGCACAAAGTCGCCTTCTTCTCCTCCCGCAACTTTTGCAGCCGCTTCGTCTGGGGTATCGCGATCTCTCTGTTGACTTGAACTTGAGCTTTTTCTTTCCCATGCACTTTAGCCAATTGAACCACTACTGGCTTCGCATACTGATGACGACGCGGGAGTTCTTGTCTATTGGAATGGCGACGCTGACGTGCTTCCCAGCCGTGGACTGAACTCCGCCATGACTCACTTGTATCGGAGGTATCAAGAGAAAGTGGCCCATTTCTCAGCCAGGGTGTTCCGCCCTTCGTGAAAGGCGCATCTAACGACTTCCTGCTTTTTTGGCCACTGAAGAAATCGTAAGCGATCACCACCGCATGCTCCCAAAGAGTGTTGTTCTCGATCATTGTCTCGATTCCAAGTTCAGAACGGTCGGCTAGAACTTGCAGCAAGAATCGGAGAGTTTCCCGTCTGTGCGAAAAGGAGAATTCGCAATCCACCCAACTGCCCAGTGCAAACAGAATGAGGAACTCAACATCTACGAGCTTAGAACTTCGATTTAACGCTTTTAGGTAAAGGAAAAAATGCGTTGTAAGCTGCGAAAGTACGAATGTTTGCTTGGGCCGAGAGGGGTACATGATCAGGTTGCTGAAGGTGCTGCATCTCCGATTGCAAACAGCTCTGGGCCATTTGAATAGACCAATGCAGAGGGAATTTGTCATCTTGTCGATCCATTGAGTCGCAAGCGAAGTCCTGGTATCTCGAATTCATGGTCTCATCTACAGCTTCCATATATCTAGATATGAACGAGTCTTCAATATCGGTATTTTGGCAATATACATCCATGGCGAATTGCAGTATCCTTTTTCTATAGTCGGGTTGATCAAGAATTACGGAAGCTCTCAGATGTTTGCTTTCGTCTGGTGGAGGATATGAAGTCTTCAAGATGGAAAGGATACCACATGCGATATGTGTACCGGGGTTGAATCTCAAGTCGTTCGTTCGTGAGAGCATATGGTCCCATACCTCTTGGCTGGTCACAAACTCGGCTACAGAGCGATGCAAGTAGGCTACTACCGGGGTAGGAGGCCAAAAAAAGCTCGCAGTTGAAACATCGCGCAACTCCAGCAATCCACAACAACGGCTTCGAACACGAGCTCCGATTCTTTCAGAATAATTCGACTGCATCTGGATATTACAACCATTCGTTCTTAAGGTAAGCGCAGTAGATGGTTGTTGGATGGCGTAAGATAGCAGGAGTAATTCGAGAGGTTTGTCATCGCCATGAAGCCTCCACCACTCAAAAATTTGGAACATCTGAGAGGCTTGCACCTGATACTCTAAGGGCATTTTCTGCATCATCCGGGTATAAAGCTCCCGCAAATCGGATGGCAAGGCACGAAGCTTAGGAAGAAGATCGTCAAAGTCGTCCCCATCATCCAACCCTCGCAGTAGAAGTCCGGTGACGATCCGGACCCAGAGAAATACTCCTTCCGCTTTCTTCCGGATCTCTGCTTCCAGTGTGGAAGCTCTTTGCGGCGACTCAACTCGGAGTTCGGCCATCATTGAGTGCGTATTCAATCTGTCCCGAATGAAGACGCTCATATCATGTTGTGTCAAACCCTGAAGCCTTAGCGTTGGGCAGCTCTTGAATACATTGAGGCAGGCATTGATCGGTCGGCTCGACACTATAACTTTGATCGCCGAAGAAGCTATAGAACAGAGGAAGGTTGACATGTCTCGATGGTCTCCCTCAAACTCGTCAACACCATCAATAAAGATACAGATGCGCAAGAACGATGCACAGCGAACCTTCAATCGCTCAAAGGCGCCCTTGAGTTCGACGTAGGAAGGCTGCTCGTAATCGCTAATGGGAATCCCTTCGGCATATAAGGTCGGAAATACAGCGGGTATGAGATCATGATAGTGGGTGAGTATGCTGTGTAGTAAAGAGCGGAGCATGCCAGTATGGCTCTTCTGTAACTGGCTTCCAACATTCCAGAAGAAAAAGTACGGACTGAGAAGCTTGTTTTGGCCAGCCCATTCCTGGAGTCGTACTCTCGTTTGTTGGTTCGATATGATGTACTTCATCAGTGTCGATTTGCCGCTCCCTGCTTTACCGTTTATGAAGTATGGCTTGTGAATCTCCGCCTCGGAGAGATGAGCACCGAAGTCATTCCAGGGTGTGTTTGTACGTGGTTTTCGAAAGATCCAATCGAACGTTGTTTGATGTGCTTCTACGACTTCTTCAAACCGCCATGTTCTCTGTCGGAAGTCTAGCCAACGGAGGATTTTTCCCTCTCGGGTCTCCGCGACCGAGGACCGGATTTCCTGGATTTCTTCCATACATGAGTCCATCTGTTCCTGCAACATGTCCAGCTTCGGACCCGATTGTTCCTGGACGAGACCATGCAAGAGGCTCAAAGCTCTTATCAGTTCATCCCCATCTTGCTGAGATTTGCCGTTTCCTGCTTCTATCGATTTGAGATGGTCAAGGACCTCTTGGTGGCTGCCAGTCTCCCTGGTACGTAGAGAAAGCACTGTTGCCAGCGAAAGAGATCCCTGCAATCTGTCCAGCCTAGAAACGTACGCTTCAATTTGATTGTGATGCCACTTTATCTTTACACTAGATTGTGCACTTCCTAGGCGCGAGGATGGCTTTAATGCCGCCATAAGCTTATCAATGTATAATATGAACTCTTCTCCAGCCCTTTCGCAATCCATGGCCGCATCGAGTAGATGCTACACGCATTAGTGCTTGCCTAGGTCTTTAGTTACTGTGCTTTCGCGGCATACCTGCTCTTCCTGCTCAAGTGTGGCTGTATTCGCTGTGAGCCGATCCACGATTACCCGAGTTTGTTCTGTGAGGTTCTGGGCGACTTTGCGCAGATCGATCAGAGACGAGGGAGCGCCCTTTTTCTTGATCTCCTTGGCGAGAGATATGAGCTGGCCAGAGAATTGCACGAACTGCACAACATTCCCAGCAAGACCGACGGCGACAAGAGCTTCCATATCTTTGAGCGGATTGAATGGGAAGAAGATTGGTGTCGAGAAGAAGTTACGATGCACCAGGCTGAAGATGACCTTTTAGTGTTGTACAGCCAAGGCGAGGCGCACTTCTAGAGAGGCTGAGCTTTCGCAACATGATTGGATGGATGACGTGCGACCTGATGATCGGTGATTCAGGACCCCGTTTATCGGAATCTACACCCTATGATATGAAGCAAGTCTACACGTAGTGTAGTTTTAGTTCTTGCCTATTCACTTTCCTTCACCAGAGCGATCGATCGATCGAAACTGGACAGTAAAGTCATCACGACAGGAACTGTTTCAAAACACATGCTTGCTCTCAGTTACAAACACCATCATGATCGTGGGTGTAATGAGACATAGCTATCGAGGTACGGCTGCTCTATATAGTGACGCCCTTGGGAGCTACCTACGTAGTCAGGACGAAGCAGGCCGACGACGTCTTGGCGACTGCGGAGATTATGGGCATTTTAAAAGGCTTCTCCACAATACACACATCTATCATTACCCCCTTACCAAATCCTCGTAGACTTTGTTCGCTACGGACGGGTTCAGACCATTGTGGCAAGGTAGATCACGCGCTTCGTAACGCTGACCTCAGACGTGGTGCATTGTAGCCACCACTGAGCAGTGAGCCTTTTCTCCACGTTTACTATCCTCATGATTCCTTTCCTTTCCCGATATCCTCTACAACATACGCAGCAAATTTTCGCTTCCTACCAAGTCGTCCAGGACCGCCAAGCGCCAGTTCGCCCTGCGCATTCTCACTACCGGCTGCATCGCCGATCCATCCCGGCAACTCGTCCAACACGCGCACGCGCACGCGCTGAGCGTTCGGGATAGTTCGAAATTGGATCTTGTCGGAGATGGAAGCGCCGATGCGCAACATGGCGAAGGCATCCAGCTGATCGGTCCAACGCGGCAAGACGGCGCTGTAGATTGCGAGACCCAGAAGCGATGCCAAAAAGACGCCGAGAAGGATGGAGATGACTAGAATGCCGGTACGCGATATAACAGGCACGAGGGTGTCGGCACCGTGGTCGTACGTCACAGACCAAGTTTTCATGAATGCTGTAGAGGAGAGCCATGCCTCGTTGGCGAGGAAGGCAGCGGATGTGAAGGCATTCGTGATGCGATCGCCCTTGTACCCGTCGTAGTGGTTCCAATACAGTGAGCGCACAAAGTTGGCTACCTGTCTTTGGACGTCGTCGTGATTGTGAATCGAGTTTTTCAGGCAGGGATCTATGAACGTCCCAATCTGATCTTGGTCGCTCCACGAATGTAACAGATTTGTAAAAGGAGCTTGATCTACACAAGCACCATAGTTCGGCGTGGCTCTCGCCTCTTCATAGGTCATGTTTGGATACATGAAAGCATCTGGACGTGCCATCCGCTCTGCAATGAAGGATCCAGAACCGAAAAGAGCCAAGGCGACTGTCAGCAACGGGCCTCGATTTTTTCGCATTTCCAACATAAGAGATGAGTTGGCAACACTACTCATATCACCAGGAAACTCTCCGCGTGCCAGTTTCGCATTTGCATCCGCACTATAGTTGTACATGAATGAGTAATGGATTCAGTGGAATGTAGTGAGCAGAAAACGTGTCAAGGGCTTACCCGTTCTGGCGGTAAGCTTGGTTACTACAATTTCCGCCACAGTGATTCATCGGGTCCTCATCAAGCAACGGCCCTGGTTGTTCGCCATTCATGTAGTTAGGCAGCTCAAAATAGCCCAAAGTAGTGTCAAGCGAGATTCTGAACAGTCCGCCTTGGTCTTCAGGTGTTACGTACTGCTGCACAGGGTCGGCTGATACCAGAGAAATATTAAGATAGAGTTCTTCAGTGATATCTTGGCGGGTGCGTACAGCACGCCACGGCGACTGTGTCAAGTTCGCTGGCATGCAAACTTCCAGGCTCCAGTTTCCCCAACCTGTCATGGTGATATAGTTCGGGTTCGTCGCTGCGTACCTAACATGGAAGGCACCTGGCAGATCAGCACAGTTTGTGGGAAACTCGGGCTCTGTGATGACTACCCGATGAGCTGTCGAATTCATTCGCGGAAGGTATTGTCGGATGAGGCCCGTACTATAACCTGCTGGTAATTCGGCGAAAAAAGGATCCGGGAGTAACGACATGTTACCAAACGCCATATTTGGCAGGACGCAGTTCATGGGTAGTTCAGTCGCATCCGACTTTACAACGGCTTGACCACACTTGATGGGTTTGCTGGTCCACAGTCGACCTTGTGGACTGAGATTGCTCGTGGCAGCCATAGCCGATCGAACCTTGACAGGTATCATGTTCAGGTCAGGCAAGTCCTCATTGTCGAATTGATCCAGGATATCGGTCAAGGAGGGAACCATGTCCGGAAATGTAGGCGTTTTAATTGTTTTCGTGGTTATGAACAGGGTTCGGAGAGGCGCGATGATTCCGCCTATTCTTATCAATACTCGATCATCTCAACAAGGCGGCTAGGGAGTACCGATGATGTTCAGCATGATTGCGAAAATGAGCAGCTTGCTTCCGTACTTTTTGTACCTGCCTGTCATGAGCTTTACGTATATATCGGGATCGGACCAGCCACGGTCAGCCAAAACTATGGTATGACGCAGTGTTAAGTTTCGCTGGCCCTGTTGCTGTACAAAAGTGACAACGGCCTTGGAGCATACTGCGGAAACGAGAGGGAGAGTGAGAACGGCCACAACTGAGTGTATGAACTGAGCAGCTTGGAGCCACTCTTCGTTCTTGGTGTAAAATGAGTGGATAACAGAGGCTCCAGTCCAACCGTATGCATGCGGTACGTCAAAATTTACACCTAGGCACCAGATTTGTCAGCTGGCACTCTCTCAAAAAGATGTAAGGATGGCAAACCATAATTTGACGTTGACGTTATCGGATGAAATGTTAGGGTACACGTCACAATCCAGGCGAAAAGCGCGAGTGCCGCATAGAGCAAGACCAACACAAGGACGTAGCCAGAGTGGTAAAGACGGGTTCCATGATGCTTTGAAGAAATAAGTGGCTTCTCGGGCCGTTCTCCAGGCTGCATTGCATCGTCCTGACCATTTTCTCCCAGTGTGGATGCCACCATACTGTCCACTGGTGCTTCAATCTGATTATGTACCGCCTGCGCAGAAGCGTCATGATCGATGAGGTCGGGGTCTATTAGATGTTCGTGCTCCATTCTTTCGGCAGTCGGGTGGCCCTCAGTGGTATAATGTGCATAGAGAAAGAAAACACACTCGCGACGAGTTTCAGATGGTGGATCAAGACGCGCTGGACGGCAGCCTGGGGCCAAACCACCCGCTTCTCATATCGATACGTCAGCTCGCATAACACCCTTGTTTTCGAGTAAGCAGTAACTGAGCCAACTTAAGCCACAATATCTTTCAGTTAACCTCATAGCAAGCCTAGCATATCGCCATATAGGCCTGTATAGCAGGCGAAGACCTAGGGGAGAAAAACGCAAGAAGGAGTGCAACAAAGTCAAGCGGATTGACAGGGAGGAGAGTAGTATTAGAAAGGACTTGCGATCTACCACCGGGGCAGGCTGCAAATGACCTCCCAGTGTTATGCAGCCAAGGCGAGGCGCCCAGTTGACGAGGCTGAGCTTTTACCACATGACGGGAGCGGCGCTACGCGGTCTGACGATCGATGGACTCGAAATTGGCTGAGCGTGAAGGTGTCCAAAGCAACATGCTAAGGTGCTGATAGATCCGTTCGAAGGTTGTGTGAAGTGTGTTGGTCCGGGCGTCAGAGGGACCTCGGGAACCAAAGTCCAAGTAGTTCCAAGCCACGCAGCTAGTCAAGCCACCCCATCTAATCAACGACTCAAGCTTGACACGCGATAACTCTACTAAGAAAGTACTTGGCTGCAGCGTTATATGTGGCAAGAATTCACAAGACACCTGACTAGATGTTGAAGGGGTATCTTGATAGGCGCATAGGTGATGCAAACGCCCTTTGCGTGTCCAACTGTAATGTCGCTTGGCGTGGTGTCTCGCAGATTTTTGCCGCACCTGTCGGTAGCATATAATGAATGAGACCATCGCTGTCTACACGTTACTGATGTGATGTTTTGTAAAACAACTAAAGAATCCACAGTGTCAGCTTCTCCCACCGGTTATAACCTTGTGAGGGCTAGAGTGCTGGAGCCGCGGCTGCACTTGCTACAACTTCATGATCGGAACTGCAAGACGTCAGTATGTGCAACCACCAGCAAAACAATAACCGCGAACCGACGTTCTAGAACTAAGACATGCTACGAAAGGACCTATCGAGACACAGCCTCTCACCACGATGGCGCGCTCTTGATTAAGCATACCAAGCTTCGGATCTCCCCAATCCTGAAGCTTGTGTACCCCCCTCTCATCTTGGCGAAATGAAGAGACATACGCCGTTCTCCACAAATACAAGCCTAGTCGTTTCACTGAACAAAGCAAACGGGCTCGAAACGGCGCGTCAGTAAGCCGAAAAGTGGGCCTACCATCTCGCTTGGCCTAGCCGCCGCGTCCCGATGACAGCACTGACAGCTCCAGACGCCATACAGCAATACATCTCCGTGATATTCTGCTCACAGCCACTACGGTCCCCGGTAATACCACCGAACATCTCGGTAATGATCATGAAACGGTGGGAACAATGCGGAGACAATATGCCGCCATCCCGTCGACCTGGAATCAGGTCTCGAACGGTTTGGAAGCGCAAGGGCACGACCTTCTGGGTACCCTTCCCATGAGATGATAAAAGCGCAATCCGTCCGCTGTTTTCTTAGTTCTCCATCACATCTGTGAAGTTTCAATCCTTTGCTTCTACTTGTGCTATTTACATTCTCATCCTTTCTTTGCCTACCCAAGTCTATCCTTCATTCAAACTTCGTTTCAATGGCTCGCTACTCTTTCGCATTCGCTGCTTTTGCAGCAAGCGGTGCCTACGCCGCCCAGGGGGCGGCTTACGCGCAGTGTGGTGGACAAGGCTTCACTGGTGCTACTGCCTGTGTATCTGGCTACCACTGTGAGGTCCAGAACGACTGGTACTCTCAGTGTGTTCCTGGCGCTGGCTCAGGAGCCGCGGCCCCTGCTGCTCCCAAGACCACCATGGTCACTATGGCACGAACCTCGACTCCTGCTGCGACCAAGACTTCCGCCAAGCCAGTCGCTGCTGCTACCAGCAAGGCCGCTGCCGTGGCTGCCGCCCCTGCCTCGTCTAGCGGAAAGACTCAGTATGCTGGTATGAACATTGCTGGTTTCGATTTCGGATGCGACACATCTGGATCCTGCAGCGGAGCCTACGTCGACCCCGGCGCGAACGGAATTGCTCAGATGCAGCATTTCACCAAGGACGACAAGCTTAACATCTACCGTCTTCCCATCGGATGGCAGCACCTTGTCGGCAACAAGCTCGGTGGTGCCCTCGATGCCACTGTCGCTGGAGCCTACGACAAGCTCGTCCAAGGCTGCTTGGCCACCGGCGCTGTCTGCCTCATCGACCTCCACAACTACGCCCGCTGGAACGGCCAGATCATCGGCCAGGGCGGCCCAACCAACGACCAGTTCGCTGATATCTGGTCCAAGATCGCGACCAAGTACGCGTCTGAGAGCAAGATCGCTTTCGGCCTGATGAACGAGCCCCACGACCTCACCATGTCCACCTGGGCCGACTCCGCCCAGGCTGCCGTCAACGCCATCCGCAAGGCAGGCGCCAAGTCCCAGATGATTCTCGTCCCTGGAACTGACTACACATCTGCGGGTACCTTCCCCACCGCCAGCGGTCCTTCTCTCCTCAAGGTCAAGGACACCGACGGCACGACCGACAAGATCATCTTCGACGTCCACCGTTACCTCGACAGCGACAACTCTGGTACCCACGCTGAGTGCACCAGCGACCACGTCGAGGACTCTTTCGTTCCCCTTGCCACCTGGCTCCGCACCAACAAGCGCCAGGCTATCCTGTCCGAGGTCGGTGGTGGTAACACTGCTTCGTGCGAGACTGATGTCTGCGCTGCTCTCGCTAGCTTGAACAAGAACAGCGATGTCTACCTTGGTTACATCGGCTGGTCGGCTGGTGCTTTCGACCAGAGCTACGTCCTTGGATTGACTCCCAACGGTTCGACTGACCAGGCACTTGTCACCAAGTGCTTCAGCCGTGCTTAGAGTAAGAGACGTCGGTGCTAAGGCTGTGAGGTGATGCAGTATGTAGACTACATGGCTTCGTGGAGGCTTTGCTTTTCGTTATCTTCGATTCTTGTGTAGACTTTATCCAATCAAACTTTTGAACTTCGACATAATCATAGCTCTTCCCGCAAACTTTCATGTGATGTTGACGTTGATTTTAGACATGATGACCGAAATGACTAGGGCGGCAGGCTCGATGAGTGGACTGTACGATATTATCAAGCATTCAAGTAGCACCTCCACAACCGATCGCGCAACATTACTACCCTCCTCGCTGATCTTTGCAATGTGCTTTCGGAAAAACTCCACTCATAAGAAGTTCAACGTCATCTTTCGATAAGGCTTCGTTATCGGTCATATTGCTCCGATTGTATGAGATAGAAATTGCCACTAGCAATTTGGATATTTGGTCATGAAATGCAGCCGACACATACTGAGGCCTAGAGGTTTCGGCACTGGGCCGCATATTGCTGATCGTTGCCTCCGAGTTCTGCATCTTGGCAGAGGCGCTTGACTTTCATGCACCATTCGGCCGGGGAGCGGTCGCGGAGGAGGTCTTGCGGCTTGTATGTTTCGTCCATCAGCTTTCGCAAGGCGATGGCGGGAAGCTCATGGTATTTCGCTGTGAGCTTCTTTGCCCACACGTCGAAAATCTAGCCAAGAACAAAGATGTGCCGACCGTTTGAATCATCTTTTAGTACGTGTAAGGTATAACTCAGAACTTACACATGATGCGTTTGATATTTTGTTTCAAAGAGAGCAGAGCGCGCCACCAACATTCGGGCGTTCTCATCGGTTTTTGGAGAAGATTAAGCAGGCTTGGATGTGAACAGAAGTACCGGAAGTATAGAGGGAGATATTTATACACGCGGTAAGATGCCCAGCATGTGATCTTGGCGCGTGGTGTAGATGTCGGACTTGGGGCAACCGAATTTTGAAGTACCTGGCGACTCGTTGGCCAAGAAAGACATGGACGTTTAATGAATAGACTTGATAGTGACAGGTCTAGCTCCGAGCGTCCACATGAATCTGACCACTGCTGTTTTCGAGGAAAGAAGAACACGCCACCGACATGTTGTGGACGAACCACGTTTTTGGAAGAAGGGAGAGTGCTTGTTGATATGGATAGGAGTTGAATTCATAGGACCGCTGGATATTTATGCATGCAATAAGGTGCACGGGTTATAATG